AAACAAAGATAGTTTAGCGCTGCAAAAATGATAAAAAGTTCAAGAGGTTAGAAACTTGGAACGCTAGTTTCATGGAACTCTATTTAAAACTACATCCAATGAGGATATGTAGCATCTTGCAAGCACATTTTTGGGTAAACTGCAGAGAACCCTCTTATGTATACCTTCAACAGCATTTATCACCCCTCCACTCTGTTGTTGGCATATATCACCCTTGTATAAGCAATTGGACTATTGGAGAAAGATAAATTGTAGATAACCCCTCTCCGCAGTGAATTGAGGTGTGGTAAGTGCTACCTACTGAGTTATCTGCAACTTACCCTAAATTTGTTAACGAAACCGTATATGATGTATTACTGCTAATGTTTTATAGACATTTCTTATGTTGAAGATTTAAGATCCACTGAAGTATTTGAATCTTCTTTATTCATCTTTTCAAGTTTTGTGCTTCCTTGAGTTATCAATTGTCCATCTTATATAGTCCTAATGGTGACTGCCTTCATGGTATTGAGTGTATCCATGCCGTTGACTGAGCACTTATGCATACCTTAATTATTTTTAAACTTTTGAATAGTGAATCATTAATGAATGCATGGATCTCCTGTAGTAAAAACCTACAACAACATATTTTTCCAATTTCTATTACCGTGTTTCTCTAAGTGTGACTTATTTTTATGCATGCATATTTCCACATACATGCATGATCCATGATGCATGGGCAGTTGTAAAGGATAATTCATCACCTATGTCTTTCTATGTAAGACATATAAATTTTATGAGTCGCCATTAGATAGAAAACATTGAACCTGCCAATAAACTAACTTCCAGAGAGGAAGAAACATACAAGAAGAGACGAAAAGACCATTTTCAGAATCTAAAGACATAACCTAACATAATTAATTTTATATTTTAAATAAAGTTACCAACTGTCCAGAACAAACTACCAATAAGGTATTTAAAATGGGGGACGGCAAATCACTCAGGAGGATGTATGTCAAACTCTATCTCATAAATTGTACAGAGCCAAATTAGTAGCTTGTAGCATGCTAATTATTAGCACATCCAGTGTTGCCTGTTAGAAATTTTGGTTGTTTAATATGCCTTGACATAAAATTGTTAACACACGAGATATCTTAAATAGAGAAATGCTAGAAAACTGAAATATTCTTTTTTTACAAAATATGTGCACTTAGGAGTCCCCAGCTTCCAGGACTTGAGCCCCGGGACCTATCGCTCTTGGCTTATGTTCTCCAAAAAACAAAGTCTCATATCAGAAAATACTAAAACTGTATTTATATTCCTCAGCAACAACTACTACTAACTGCATCATGTAAAAATCTGTCATGAATTATAACGAAAATTGACTTGAATTAAGGGCCAAAATAAAAAGACAAATAGAAGCTGACAAGGGACAGAAAAGAGTGATTATTCAAAACTCCTGATTGAGCATCTTTCTTACCAAAATTCCAAAAATTACATCCGATTAGAAGGCTGATTATGCATATTTTTCATGTAAAGTACACTTACCGCTGTTGATACATGAGAGCGCCCATCTGAAGGTCCCTCTCTAGCGAGCCCAAAGTCAGAGAGTTTTGGCTTAAAATCTTTATCTAATAGGACATTAGATGCTTTGAAGTCCCGGTAAATTACCTGATCCAAAAGAGGAAGGGGTCAAAAGGTGCAGAAAATTGAGACCTGTTTTTTGCTGTAAACAAGATAGTCTTGAGAATTTAAAAAAGAATTGATAGAAAATGACAGTATAATAAGAAATTAAGGCTAGATGTTGATAGTTACGCAGTTATCGGCGATCCAGTCAAGAATTAAAAAATTGGTAGCCACACATATACGACAAATTGCATGCTGAAAACTTATATCACGTTAGAAACAAGCACATACGACAAAATACATGATGAAAATTATATCACGTAAGAAACAAACATTACATAATTGGTTTCAAAACTTTTTATGCACAAGTAGAGAGGAGTACGAATTTGTTTTACACCTTTTAAGCACAAGATTCTTAAATTACCTGAACTTCCAATCCTTCATGCAAATATGCCAACCCTTCAGCCGCACCCAAGGCTATCTGTAGTCTTAAGTTCCAGGGAAGACAAGGATAGGCTCGGTTAAATAAATGATCTTCTAAACTTTTGTTTGGCATGTACTCGTAAACTAAAAGCCTCTGGATCCCTCTTTCACCATCTTCAGAACAATACCCAATGAGTTTAACAAGGTTTGGATGGTTAACAACTCCAAGAAATTGGACTTCTGCAAGCCATTGCTTATGTCCCTAAAGAAAGATCCAGCATGTTATCAGCAATTATAATCGACTGAAAGAGCCTTAATTAGATAATTTTACAGGAACATGGTTCCAGATCAGCATAAACTGAGCGGTTTGATAATCTTTGTTTACACTTCACTAGAAAATTGATGGCCACAAGATAATTTATATAGACACCCATAAGAAAAATAAAATTTTGAAAAGTCTAAACAGATACATTACCCAATGGAGCATGCTTTGTTTCTGCTCGAAAACAGATTAAAGCAACTTTAAAAAAAACTGGCATTAACTGAATCATGAAAATTGACATAAAAACATAGATGTTGATGTTTGACTAGGTGATATCAACACTCCTAGATGGGCTGCAACAATATTTTTAAGAGCCACGGATCATGAGCCTAGTGAAAATTGGGATATTGTAATGTTGAAATACTAAGAAATTGTATAGCATGAATACACAATCCTTGTGTCTTTTTCCCTCCAATGCATACAATTGTACCTACTTCTATACAAAACAGAAATGATAAACAACACTTGTGTCTTTTTCCCTCCAATGCATACAATTGTACCTACTTCTATACAAAACAGAAATGATAAACAACAAAAGGATAAAACAACCAAAAATGCATACAATTGTACCTACTTCTATACAAAACAGAAATGATAAACAACAAAAGGATAAAACAACCAAATGCCAGAACTTGGAACATGATAGAATGAAGAAGGAAATGATAGCTGTATTTAAATAACGGGAGATACAAATTGCCAGCATGGAAAACTTATTAACTTGAAATCTAGATAGTAGTAAAAACCTGACTGTTTTTGCTTTCTTTATTATTTTCGGAGAAATAAAGCCAACTCTTAAATGCTGAAAGGAGTTGATGCAACAGTAACCATTCTCTATCCTACAGATAGAAAATGTCTTTGAGTAACCTCTTAAAGATAGATAATAAGAACAGAACTAACTATTCTGAGACTATATTTAGATACACAAATAATACATGATGCAAAAACTTTCCAATGTAGAGATCTTATTCTTTGTTTGAACAAGTAGCTATTAAGCAATTTAAACTTAGAAAGTTGCACCAACAGGCCACAAACATTGCATCTGTAATTGTTCTCAGTTACAAGGGTTACTGGAGATGTCAATTCTGCCTTACCATCCTATTTCTCGCCTAGTTTCAAAACATGCGTAGAACAAGTTTTGTTACAATCCATGACACAAGTTTGAATATTTTTAGGCAGCAGAACACCATAATAATTCACATGAAGCAGTCTTAATATACTTCCTTGGAAAATTCCAGATGGCACAATATATAAAATTGAATGACAGATCAATCTTTAGTCTGTCAGATGTACGGAATAATTTTATGACGACAAATAAAATTTGAGTTCAAGTCTTTGTTCCCACACTAAACAACAATGAAAGGAAAGCACAATCAACCATAATAGAATATTAGACACACATGCTGGAAGCACATACTTAATGCATATTATAACCAGAGGTGTTTCATCTTTTTTTCTTTTTCTTTTTCTTTTTCTTTTTCTTTTTCTTTTTCTTTTTTATTGAAAAAGAGACAAAACTTAAACTATTTGTTCACATTTTATCCTGCATCTGTACACTTGACAAATTTGTTGGTAAAGTTCGCATTCTTGTTTGTACCTTTTGATCTTTCTCTCCAATGAATTCTCATCGGATCAACCAATCATTCTTTTGGTCCTAACCCCATGTAGCCCATGTGAGCGCTGACACAAACTTTATAGCTGAATACAAAATATAATATCCCAAACACATAATGTAGACCATATATTCCTCTACCTATCCACTTTGTTTAACATTTCGAATGGAGAAGACAAGGGCAGTGATGAAAACTAAATATGCACATCATGATTATTGAATTCAACCCCTTTCGAAACAATCAAAATCTTAAGGAGAAGCACAAGATCAAAGTCAAACAAAAAACTATACAAAAAATTCATCCTAGCTGAACAGCTTCACATCTACCCATATATTTATAAAAATAGGACTTGCTCAAAGTAGAATTTTTGTGTAAGGTTTCATATAAAAGAGCGACATACCATAAACTATTGTTTACAATACCCTATGAAATGGTCTCTTCTACAACATCTATAAACAATCACTGCTGTAACTGTCAGAATCTCTCACTTTCAGTAGATAACGTGATCTGTTCCAATAAAGAACTTTACTCTTTTGGCGGAAATTGATATTGGAGACATTCATCGAATATGCAATAAGATTCAACCCATGAAATACTAAAAAAACTAATTAAAAGAAAAAAAAATACAATAATCAATTACAGATAGAGAAGTATACCTGCAGTCCTTTCTGATTGAGCCTCTTCACGGCCACCGTGATCTTATCTCCCTTCCCATCAACAGGCCTAACGAACCCTTTGTAAACACTCCCAAATCCGCCTTCGCCGATCTTAAGCATCCTATTGAAATCATTGGTAGCATTTCTCAGCTCATTGAGCTCGAAAACTCGAAGACCTCTCTCCTCATAAGAGCAAACCGGAATCTCTGCTGGCGACGACGTCGAGGCGAAGATTTTGTGCACGCCGCCGCGATCAGTGGCACCGAGCCTAGTGGCCCGTGTTCGACGTGGGTGCTGAATTGGATTCTGATAAGCTTGAAGGGTTTGGGTTTTGCTTGTTCTTTGGGGTGGACTTGAAGAAACCAAAACAACCCATAATTTGAGAGAAAGAGCTAGAATCGCATTTAGAAACGGCAAGAATAGGGGGAACTAAGAAATACCCATAAGAGAAATTGGATGAGTTGGAGGAAATATGAGCAAAATAAACTCGGATAGAGGAAGAAAGCGAGAAAGTTGAAGGAAACTCGACGAAGAAAATAACCCAGAGGTCAAAATCGAAACTTTTAGAGAACCCAATAGCCAGAACAAAATCTGAAGAGAAAATTATGGGAGAAGTCGGTCAAAAGAACCGAAGAAGATATCAGATACTCGTTAATCCTCTTTGAACACGTTTTCTGTTTTTTCATTTGTGTGGACAGATCAGGAGCTGTCGTCATCTCTCTCTCTCTCTCTCTCTCTGCATCTATAGTGGGCTGTTGGTGACTAGTCTTTTGAAGACCAAAGAAAACATCAAATCTCTATTACCTTTGCTACATGGCTCAAAATACAGGACTAACGAGGGACATCAAAAGACTAAAGAAAACATCAAATCTCTATTAGAACAAATTTTCACTTTAGCCCTATTTAAATTTTTTATTATTAAAATCGACTTTTTTTCTTTTATTTACCAAAACCGACCCGATTTCTTGATTAGCGGCTTAATCACATTCCTAATTAGTCGGGTTGCCAACCCCGACTATTTAGGATATTAATTTTTAGGGTTTAAGGCTTCTAATTAGGGTTTAAGACCCTCCTAAATAGTCGGGGTTGGCAACCCCGACTAATTAGGAATGTGATTAAGCCGCTAATCAAGAAATCGGGTCGGTTTTGATAAATAAAAGAAAAAAGGGTCGATTTTAATAATAAAAATTTTTAAAAGGGCTAAAGTGAAAAATTGTTCATCTCTATTAGCTTTGCTACATGGCTCAAAATACAGGACTAACGAGGGACATGTAAGTTGTCTCTCTCCTATTGTATAATGAGTTGGTCATGTGTCTCCCTCCTATTGCATAATGAGTTGGTTATCTCTGATGGCCAACTCATTATACACTAGGAGGGGGACACTTCACATGTCTCTCACGTTGGTCCTATATTTTGGGTGATTGGGGAATTTTTAAATCTCTATTTATCTATCTTTCTATTTGTCTCTTGGGATACAGGCAGGAGAAGAGTAGATGCATGTAAAGAATTTCTTTTTTTACTTATAGAAATGTTAAGGGCACACTCCCAACCACACCCTCCACCACACCTCCTCTCCCTCTACAGTGCATTGGGCCCCACATCAAATTTTTTAAAAAAAATTGATGTGGGGCCCAATGCACTGTAGAGGGAGAGGAGGTGTGGTGGAGGGTGTGGTTAGGAGTGTGCCCCTATAACCACTCTTTTACTTATTGGTGGTCGAAATGTTTATTTACCCATTTCTCACAGCGCCAAGCTTCTAATTATTTTTTGTTGTCGTTAACGAACAAAAAGAGAGGTCACAAGCAGAGAGTTGAATGGTAGTTGGGCATGAGCATCTATACGGTCGTGTTTGTTTCATTTCAAAAAAAAACGTAGGAAATATCTTTTAGTAATAAAAAAACTATTTTCATTTCTTTCCATGTGTTTCTAGGATTTTTTTTTTTTTTTTTTTTTTAATGGAGAAAGAGAGAGGAAAGGTTTCCCATCTTATTTCTTTGTTTGGTTTAAAAACCAAAATTAGAAACCAATTGAGATGTAAATCTCTCCCTGATCATGTAACTATTACATTTTACCTACTCCCCGTCTCATCTATTATTTGAATATTAAAAACTCACATTTTCAATCTTTTTAACTCCATTCCCTCACTTTTTTTTAGAGGAAATGATTTCTTTATAAAAAGTCGTGTTTTCCACACGTTCAAGAAGATTTTTCTTAAAAAAAATTTTGAACCAAACACAGGAATTAAAAGCTCGTAGAAAGTTTTTTTGCATGTTTAGACAGCATCAAAGAGTTCTCGTGGGTTTCCACGGGTTTTCAACCGAAGCAAACACGTTCTAAATGGATGAGAACTTCAACATTACAGTTTTTTGAAAGTCTCTTTTTATTGCACTTTGAGCAGTAGTAACTAGATCATAAGATTCTTATTGCTCCTGTATCGCAAGACGCAAAGGGAGTAGTTTTTTTTGTGAGCTGCAATGAGAAATTTTTGTAAAAATTGGATTGCAATGAGAAATCATGAGTTCTTGTGAACTCGCAGTTTTGTAGCTAGTAGTATGGAAATAATATGATCATTGCATAAGGGGTAACCAATCATTGATCAATACTGAAGTATGAGTTTTTGAAAGTTCCTAGTTTAATATCAAGCAACAATTTTATTTTAAAATAAAAATAAATTGCAAAAAAAATATAAATACTGCTTAAGATTTAGTATTACCATATTACTTTGCATTAGAATAAAAAAAGGAACTTCGCTTCTTTTGACAAATAATATCTTGCATTATCATAAAACAATTATCACCTACATTTAGATTAAGCAGAATTACAAGTTTTTTTCCCTTTTTTGAGCAACGGGGCAATCTAATCATGAAATTTATTAATTGATTAGAGGAAAATTGGACATAATGTACATGAAGAGAGTAGGGATTTTTAGATCTCACAAAAACCCTGAAAATCACCAAACCCAACAAATAGAATTACACGCGATTTAACGTGGAAAACCCTCAACAGAGAAAAACCACGGGATCAAAATCAATCGAATATCACCTCCAAATTAAAATTCTTTGTACGGACAAAGACTGTCAAACTCTTTCTCTCACAATGCCCTTGAACCCTGTTATACCCTCTAAAACCCTGATTACAAGAATATTGTCTCTCTCCTTCTCTCTCTCTACTCTAAAACCCTAGAATATAGGACACCTTATTTAAAGACACCACTGACTTGCCCACCAAGTTAACTTGGCCTCTAAGAAAACTACTAGGATTGAGCCTAGCATTCAAACCCGCATCCGACTTGGAGTTTAAGTCAGTACTGGGTGCATTCAGTCCGGATACGGCTCAGATATGATGTTTACCATATTCATATCCCCTTACCCATCTCGGATACAGATACAAATACAGATATATTTCGGTAATGAAAATTCATAATCATATCCGCTAAAATTGGATACGGTTACGGATATACATGCAGATACATAAGCAGACATGCATGCAGATATAAAAACGGATATGAGAAAAACTATATATTATTGAGAAAAATATACTCCATGTGATACAAAAGAGTTTGTTAATATGTTTATTATAATTGAAAAGTTAAGATTAGACATCTTGATCATCAAAATTAACCACAAGTCCATAATCTAAGAATCGAAACTATTGTAAGAGTATGACTAATATATATTCGGATATTTCGGATACGGATACAGATATTTTACTATAAAATCATATCTGTAACCATATTCTATTGGTTATAGATTTGAGTAACCATATCCGTATCTTAAAGGATACGGTTACAGAAATTTCCGCGGATACGGATACAGTTTAGCACCCCTAGTCGGTACCCAACATATCCTCCCTCGACGAAAAATATTCAAGTATCTCAACGGCTTCAGAAAAACTCACTCTCTTCTTCTTGTTCTTCATCTCTTCCTTGTGAACAGATCGCGCATCTAAATAGAAAATATGATTGCTATTCTTTCTCCCTCGCAAAATCAAATCACCATCTTTATACACTTTGTATCACTCTCCTTCACCCACATACTTGTACCCACGCGATACTATCTCACCAAATGAAATTAAATTAGCACTACATGACAACACATATCTCACATGATGAAGAATTCTAATCTTCCCAGTGTGAAGCTTGAGACAAACACTTCTAACGCCTTCAACCTTTATCTTCTCATTGTTTCCAACAATCACGTCATCAAATTATTCATCTGTCTTCAACGTGTCAAAATAATATTTATTGTTGCAAACGTGCATAGAGGCTGCAGAATCTAACACCCAAGTTTTACTCGTATCAATACATGTACTCTGCATCAACAGCACCACATCTTCATCACACATAACTATCGAGGAGTCCACTTTCTTTCTATTTTTGTGAAGCTTCACATGTCTAATACTCTTCAAATCATCTCGCATCTGGAAACATCTGAACTGAATGTGGTCCTTCTCTTTGCAATAATAGCACTCGCTTTTGTTGTCGTCTCGGGCCCTAGATTTTGACCTTCCACAAAAACTGTCACATCTCTCATTACTCCTCCCTCGATTAAAACATTCAAAAGCCAGTGCACTCTCACCACCATTAGATGCGCTCTTCTTTCTCATCATTCTTTCATTCTCACGTAGGACTATTGTCACATCGTTAAACTTTAAAGTCTGCTTCCCTGCAATTATTGTCTGAACTAACGGCTTATACGACTTCGGTAAAGAAGACAGTAGGAGTTACACCTACTCTTCTTCTTTAATCTACTCATCAATATTCATAAGTTGGCAAACCAGCTGATTAAAGGTATTTGATGTGGTCTTGAATTGCAGTACAATCTTCCATCTTTAATGAATAAAGCTCCATCCTCAAACACAACCGGCTGGTTATCAACTTCAACGCATAAATCTCCTCGAGTATTTCCCACAACCCCCTTGGTGTGGTCTCTTTCATAACATTGTACTTGATCTCGGGGGTGAGTGCCAAACGAATTGTGCTAACTGCCCTCTTTTGCATGGAACTCCATTCAGCATCCTTCAACCATTCAGGTTTCTTCTCCCCTAAGCTTGATTAACACCATGCTATACAAGAATATCTTGAATCGTACACTGTCATACTGTAAAATTTGTCTTGCCGTTGAATAGCAGAATATCGAACTTCAAACCCGAAGAAGTCATCATCCTCTAACCACAATCAAAATTCAAACCAGTCACTGTAGATATTGAATTTGATAAAAACGACATAAAAAACGAACTCAGCACGTCGAAAAACCTAGGAATGGATCATCGATCACCAAAATCCGCTTCCAAACCCTCGAGCAAAAGACAAACCAACCTGCACCCTCGGATTTGATTTAATAGTTTGTAACCAAACCCTCACCCACTTGAGCAGTGTTCTCGCCGCTACAGTACTCCTTGTGCTACAGTGCTTTTTCTTTTTTTTCCATTCCCCCTAATGTCAATCGTCGTGCTTCGACCACTGGCGCCTTCATCAATCGCACACCGGTAAACCTCCATAGACCATCGAATCCCACTCTGATACCACTTGAGATTTAATGTGGAAAACCCTCAACAGGGAAACACAACGGGATCAAAACTAATCTACTATCACTTTCAAATTATAATCTTTTGAACATACAAAGACTGTCAAACTCTCTCTCTCTCTCTCTCACAATACACTTGAACCCGGTTACACCCTCTAGATCCTGATTACAAGAATATTGTTTCTCCTTCTCTCTCTCTACGCTAAAACCATGGAATAGGACGCCTTATTTAAAAACACCACTGACTTGCCCACCAAGTTAACTTGGCCTCTAAGAAAACTAGTAGGACTGGGCCTAGCCTTCGAATCTGCATCCTACTTGGAGTTTAAGTCGGTACCTAACATGAAGAGAGTGTGGAAGGGGAGAGAGAGAGAGAGAGAGAGAGAGAGAGAGAGAGAGAGAGAGAGAGCAATAAGAGGAGGTAGGTAGAAGGATTGGAAAACAAAATAGACGAATCTACATATCTGAATCGATGTGTCATGTCACTCTCAGATGGACAAACGAGGTAGAGTTTGTTTATTTTTGAGTTCACACTATCTCATTCTGATTATTCTAAATGAAAAGGATTACAAATTACACATAAGATAAAATTACAGAAATTTTCGACTAGCACTAATTATAGGATAAAAGGATGGTTTTTTTTAATCTATTCAATAGAATAGAGATGTATGGCAAAAAGATTTTTGCAACTTATATTAAATGAATGTACATGTTTACACCTGTTCTCCAATGTACATGAAATTTTCAATCAAGAAAAACTAAAATCTTTGTGCTTATAGGAATTAAAGTATAAAATATTGTGATTTTTCACGAGGGAGTATAAACGTTTGTGATGGTATTTCTACAAGAATCTGCATGTGATTGTCGGATGCAAATAAGTCCAGTTCCCAATGCGAGATATTTGATAATAAAAAAAAAGAAAAAAAAAGAAAAAAAAAAGAAGAAGAATCGATATTAAAGTTATTAAAAATCTTAAAAAAGGACTCTCATTTTGAGCAAACATAGGCTTGCAGCTCAGCTTAGCTTTAATCACCGAACTTTCGTTATCCAGCTTCCGCTTAACGCGGCTAAAAGGGAAAAGATAGAGAAAGGTCTCATGGACTTGTCACATATATTTCTCTCTGTGGTAAGTATTCATGAAGTCTACGAGTCTTCTTGTGTCCCCTTGTGTCCATCGTGCAACTTGTGCTTATGTACCTCTCCAACAAGTTGAGTTGTCCGTCTTTAAATCTATCAGAAATTAATATTTCCATTCACATTAGGTTGATTATCAAGTGAGAATATAGATAGAGCTGTTAATGGTGCTTGAAGGTGTCATAATCTTACTTGTTATTGTTTGAGACTTCCAAGGACCAAATACATGAGCCAGTTAATCTTGAGACATTCGTCATATTTCAGTTCCAAAATGTAACTCGGAGAACTTCGGGCCAGTTTGGTAATGCTGGTGCTTATAAGAAGTTACTTCATATAAGTAACTTATAGACACAACTTATATAACCCGCTGACAATAAGTAGCTTAATGCTTATATAAATAGTTTATACAATTTGCTTATAATTAGTTATTTATACAAATTTGAAAAACTCAAACCTTATACAAGGAAGTTTAAACAATTACTTTTTAGTAAAGCCTACTAATTAATGTTGTGCGCAGCGGAAATTTCGGCAGAGTTTCTGGTGCACAATAAGAGAGAAAGATCGATAAGAATTCTTGTTTCTCAAAGGGAACAAGAATCTGAAAGCCTAATATCCCATCAAAGTGGGATATTAGCTCTTCCTCTCGTCAGCTCTAGGACTGCGCGTCGAGGGATCCTAAAAAACTATTACAATGGCCACAAACTCAAACAATCAATTTTTACGTGGTTCGGCAAACTGCCTACGTCCACGGGGCAAAGAGGGGAAGATCTACTATTAGAAAGAAAAAGAATACAAATAGGTTTACAACTCTCACAATTAAACCCTCAATCTAATCTCTTTCTTCCTCTCTCAAAAGCCGCTGGAGAACCCTTTGTTTTCTTCTGCTTTTATTTCTCCAAGATTGCACGAAGCCAAGAGACAACCACAATTCCCTTCCGCTTTTTCACCAAGCCAAGCCGCAAAAGGCGCAAAGCCCTCTATCAACTTTTCCTCTTTGCTCTCTGCCAATTGCAGCAGCCGAAACTCTCTCCTTCTTTTGCACAAAACCCTAGGCTTGATGATGTTGGTTTTTATAGTGTTCGTTCATGGGCCGATTTCATCCGCAACCGCTCTGCTAATTTCACAAACATCACGTGGTTTGCAAATCACTTCACGCGGAAACCAAGAGCACGTGGGTTGGTGAACATCTCTTCAATCTCATGACCTCTTATCCGCTGGACTTTGCAATTCTCCAAAGCTTGTGGCCCCCACAAGCATGCCGCCAACAATTAAGACCCCTCTTTAGAATTGATTTGTAAATGAAACACATAATGGTCGCAAGAAATAACAATTAAACTATTGATATGAATAAAATTATTAGTTTTGACAACTTTAATAAAATAAAAGTGAGCCATCAACTTAAAAATGAAGCATGTCAAAAATCTTAATAAAATCTCAATCATCTCAGAAGTAAGATAATTTAAACTCATTACATTTCGCATATTATTTTCTTGTTTAACTTAAGTTTGAAAACGGTAGCTAGGCTCATTTTACTATCTCGTGACATATCGAGTCTACCGATACAGCTCTACGTACGACTCTCTTCCCATTCCAAAATTATTTATTCAGGTGTTGAAAAAATTTTATGGCTAATTTATTTTGGGGTTATCTTGATAGCTATTCTAAATATTATTGGTGTAGCTAGAAAAATATTTACAGACCTAAGAATGAAGGAGGTGTTGGGATTAGAAATTTAGTATTAGAAAGCTTTTTCTTTCAGATTGGTGTGGGGCATTTCTTCATGGTGATTCTGTTGTGCGCGTCGTGGAAGCGTGACAACCAAACGGGCGTGCTTCGAGAACCAAATCAAACAAACGTCGAGATAAAGGCCAAACAAATCAAAACAACGGCACAAATCCAAACACAATAGTTTTACGTGGTTCGGCAATTGCCTACGTCCACGGGGCAAGAAGGGGATGAGTTTTCACTAATAGAGAAAGAGTACAAACTGAGATTAAAAATCGCTCGAAGGAACAAACTAATCTCACCAACAAGCTCTTAATCTCTCCAAACAAAACCCTAAACAAATAGCTCAGAAAATACATCTTTTCTGTGCTCCAAATATCCCCAATTTTTCTTCTCCACCAATTTTCTCTTCCAATTGTTCCATATATGTAGAAATCCTAAAATCATAAACATACTAGGAATTCTAAACCAAAACCAAATTAAATTAGGAATCCTAATAACCTATTACCAAAATAGATTAGGAATCCTAATAACCTCATGTTACCAAAATAGAATAGGAATCCTAATAACCTTATGTTACCAAAATAGATTAGGAATTCCCTATCCAATAATTCTCCACCTCGGCGAAGTTTTCCCAAAACTGAGCCGACACCGACCAAACCAAATGCCTCACTTGTTGCGTCCAGTACGCCACGGCAACGTACTCATGACAACGGACTCCATCCACAGAAGTCGAGATCCAAACGGGAGTGCGAACACTCACCCAAATGTCGGTATCTACTCACCAAATCGGCTGCATCAAAACTGACGGCCTACGTATCCTCTTGCGCAAGGAATCAAGCCTTCACGTAGTTCACCCAAATGGCCTCCAAAGGCCCTCAAACAAATAGAAAAGTCTGCAACTCTTCACCAATATCATCTGCATCCAAATCCAAATGATCCCCAATCTGTGTCACTTCAGCTGGAATCCCAAACGATGCAGTATGATCTGAAGTATGTGGAGTAAACTCCACCCAACGTGGAGTAGCATCACCCTCCACCTGCTACGATATCCAAACGACCTGATCAACACTCTCCACCTGCTGAGAGTCAAAAGTGATATTCCTGCTCAGAACAAAATCAGAAGCTCCCAACAAATAATCAAATGAACCTCCGAATCCCAAACGCGCAATCGGATCAAATCTCACATCCTCGATGTG